CGCCGCTGGAGGAGTGCTGCTGGAGCTGGAGCTTCGTCGACCGTCGAGGGTGCTGGTGCTGCCGGTCCCGGAGCTGCTGGGCCTGCGGGTCCTACTGGAGCTGCAGCTGCTGAGGGTGTTGGTGCTGAGACTACTGCTGTCTGTCCTGGCGGTGGTTCTGCTGCTGGTGCTGCTGGAGGTCCTGCCGCTGGAGGTGTTGGTGGCGCTGGTGCTGTCGCTGAGGGTGCTGGTGCTGTCCCTGCTGAGTCTGGAGCTGCCGCGCGGCCTCGGCCGTACTTCGTTCCGCTCCTACAGCAGGTTCTTGGTCTTTCTCCTTCGGTAGAGTGTCCACAGCCTGTCCAGTCGCAGTCACTGTTGGAGCCTTCCTCTCCTCTGCCTGCTCCCTCTCCTTACACTGGTCCTACTGGAGGTCTTGCTGAGCGTCGTGAGCCTGCGTCTCGTCCCGCGTCGCCTGTTCGTGCTGCTCGCGCTAGTGGTCGCGGTTCGCGTCAGCGTCCTCCTCCTGTCCCTGGCACGCACCGGATGTCTCTGCGTCCGTCCACTGCTCCTCTGCGTGCCCCTTTGCCTTCTCCTCCTGAGTCCTCTCTTCCTGCGCTTGCCGACCCTGAGTCGGACTCTCTTCGCGCTGCCAGTCCTACTGTCACGCGTCTGCTTGCTACTGTCGTCACTGACCCCTCTTTTGAGTCCACTGCTGCGTCTGCTCTAGTCGCTGAGCTTGTTGACTTTGCTGCTTGCTGTCGTCTCGACTACGCTGCTGGTCTTGTTGCTGAGTCTGCGTCTGTCCGTCCTCCGTCCGTCGGGGGTGAGTGTGCTCTTGGCACGGACGTCCTAGAGGACAGACAGGAGGAGTTACAGTGTCTAGCGGCTGCTTCACCTCATCTCGCGTCTGTACTACTTGCCCCTGAGGGAGACCCGGATGCACTAGACATCCCGACTCCGCGTTCTTACGCGGAGGCCGTAGAGGGTCCCTACTCCTCTCAGTGGCAGGCAGCTATGGATGCAGAGATGGCTTCCTGGAAGTCCACAGGCACCTACGTTGACGCGGTTCCCCCTCCTGGGGCGAACATCGTCAGTGGCATGTGGATCTTCAGGGTGAAGCGGCCGCCGGGCTCTCCACCTGTCTTCAAGGCGCGGTACGTTGCTCGTGGCTTCAGTCAGCGGCAGGGAGTTGACTACTTTCAGACCTTCTCTCCCACCCCGAAGATGACCACTCTTCGGGTGCTGCTGCACATAGCCGCTCAGCGCGACTACGAGCTTCACTCTCTCGACTTCAGCACTGCGTTCCTGCAGGGAAGCCTGCACGAGGAGATCTGGCTGCGCCGTCCACCTGGCTTCACTGGGACTTTCCCTCCTGGCACCCAGTGGAGCCTCCGACGGCCAGTCTAAGGTCTCCGCCAGGCACCGCGTGAGTGGCACGACACACTGAGGACTACGCTTGCGGCTCTTGGGTTTGCTCCTTCTACTGCTGACCCGTCGCTGTTTCTGCGCACCGACACTTCACTGCCGCCGTTCTACATCCTCGTGTACGTCGACGACTTGGTCTTTGCCACAGCGGACACTGCTGGACTCGCCTACGTGAAGTCCGAACTGCTGAAGAGACACACGTGCACAGACCTGGGTGAACTGCGCAGCTACCTTGGCTTGCAGATCACTCGGGACAGAGCACGCCGCACCATTACCTTGACTCAGTCACACATGGTGCAGCAGGTCCTTCAGCGCTTCGGCTTCACGTACTCCTCGCCTCAGGCCACTCCTCTGCCTACTCGCCACTCACTCTCAGCTCTGCCTTCGGATGAGTCCGTAGAGTCGAGTGGTCCGTATGCAGAGCTTGTTGGCTGCCTCATGTACCTGATGACCTGCACACGACCTGACCTTGCATACCCTCTGAGCATTCTTGCACGCTATGTTGCTCCTGGGAGACACAGACCAGAGCACATGGCTGCAGCGAAGAGGGTATTGCGCTACCTGTGCAGTACGTCGGGCATGGGGCTTGTGCTTGGAGGGCGGAGTCCAGTGGTCCTTACCGGCCACGCGGACGCTTCTTGGGCTGACGACCAGGCTACGCAGCGGTCGTCACAGGGTTACACCTTCAGCCTTGGTTCCGGCTCTGTCTCGTGGCGGTCTACTCGCTCGTCTTCGGTTCTCGGCTCCAGTTGTGAGGCTGAGATCTACGCCGGGGCCATGGCTGCACAGGAGCTTCGCTGGCTCACCTACCTGCTGATTGACCTTGGAGAGCCGCCTCGTTCTCCTCCAGTGCTGTACGTAGACAACAAGGCCATGCTGGCCTTGTGTCGAGAGCAGCGCTTGGAGCACAGAACGAAGCACATTGCTCTCCGCTACTTCCTTGCTCGTGAGCTGCAGCAGCGTGGTCAGTTGCGACTTGCGTACGTGGCCTCTGAGGCCAACACTGCTGATGTGTTCACCAAGGCACTCGCGCCTTGTGACCATCAGCGCTTTTGCACCCAGCTGGGTCTTGTGCCTGTCTTGCCTCACTTGCTCTCCTCTTGACTTTACTTGTACTGTGACATATATATATACCTGCTCTTGCTTGTCTAGTTTTATATATATGTCTGTACTCCTGCATGTGAACTGGCCTCTGGCCCTGCTCTTGTGCTCGGACTGTGTGGTGACTTTGTGATCCACCCTGAGCTTGCTTTGCTTTGCTTGACTGGTCTTGTGACCCCTTGTTCTCCCCCACTTTGCCTATGGGGGTGTGTCAAACATTATATATGTTATGCTTGTGTAGGCTACAGTGGGTTAGCCTATAGGGGGTACACAATTCTAGGGTTTACTACTTGTACTCATTTCACTTCTAGTTCATTCATTCCTGTTCGCTTATTCTCACAATATGTTCCGCAAAAGTTATCACGGACAGTCACAAAATCCGCCAAATCTATCACGAACCATCACACGGGTATCACCCGCCGTCACTTAAAGCCACTAATTTCTATCACGGGTAGTCACACTTGAACCCTGTCATCATTTCGTTGACCCACCCTGAAACACTGTACAGATTTGGGTACTTTTTTTCGGGTCCTGGTTTTTGTCCTATATACGCGACCACATTGGGCGCAAAGCGGCCAAAATCATTGATACTCAAATCACGCCAGAAGCAGTTTGCAAAAGTACTTAACCAACAATTTTGCAGCATAGTAACTAAACATACAGTTTCATCCAATTTTAAGAACAACTGAGAAACAAAGTCGCCAACAGCAAGTCCGCACATACCCAACAAAAAAGGAAACGGTTTAGAACGCTTGGATAACCAGGACAGTGTTTGGAATTATAAGCCCTAACTACGCGAAGTCGCCAATAAGATATGATTATCTAATTGAACAAACGACACCACCAGTTGAGCTTGCTACCGGAGGGCTTTAAAAAATAATCCTCCTACCAAAAGGCATGATATTGCGATGACATCAACCTTAAACACCCTGTCGCATAATGTTTTGGGGTTGATGCCATGCGAAGAGGGGTTTAATTTCCATCCAGATTCTAAATGATATACCATATTTTGTACAATCGTGAGATCACGTAATGACATGCGATAAAACATCCAGGAAGATTCAATGAATTGTGAAGTCTAGCAAAATTGATGTACGTTACGATCTATTCACTATATATTTTTTTCCCAGCTATGTGTTACATTCGTTTTAACGTAACCATGCATCTTTGCACCAGGCCAGCATAATTGATACTCAAATTATACCAACGACGTGATGTATTGATACACAACATCGATTTCACGGCTCCGATTGGTTCTCGCTTTTCAATCACGGTATCTACGATTATAATTTCGCCGGAATGTGACAATAATGGATCATGGTTTCCGAAACTCTGTAAATCATAATTGTTTAAATTTTTGTTAATAGTGCGCTTGGGCGTCTAAAATTAAAAGGTTTTTGTCACGGTTTACTGGGATGTTTTGGGTCTCTCCAATTTTTGCTACCAGATCATTCTGATTATAGTCATAAAGCTTTATGATTTTTTATATGGTTTATCATTATATAGAATTGTTATGGTCCGTAAAAACTTGGTACTGTTTATTCTCTTTCTGTATACTCTATCCGCTGTGTCACGAAATTTAAATTGTGCGTTCCTTGTTATGGATTGTTTAACATTCTGATAAACATTTAGGCAGATTCAATTAATTGTGAACTTTAGCAAAATGTATATGCGTTCAATTTCTTTCATAAAATTTGTTAAACTACATTTTGTTACGACGATTCAAACGTATCCAGGTATCTTTGCACCCAAAATGGACGAGTATACAAGACAAAATTTAGGACCCCGAAATGAAGTACCCAAATCTGTACAGTGTTTCAGGGTGGGTCAACGAAATGATGACATGGTTCATCTGTGATAGCAAAGTTTCGAGTGTGACTACCCGTGATAGAAATAAGTGGTTTTAAGTGACGGCGGGTGATACCCGTGTGATGGTTCAGAAACAAAGTGGAAATAAGATTTATAAGTTCTTGAGTGCTGTGTGATTACACTACACGCATATACACGAGACGCAATTTGACTCATGGAAGAGAAACTGATATAATTAGTACGATGAACAATGTATTAACATGAAACATGGCGGGTATCAGAACGTATTAGTCAAATTAACATATACAGACTTGTTTCCTACTGAGTGGTTTTGTAAAGGGGCGATCATACAAACCAATCAACCAACTCTAGGTTTTGATCAACCGAACGCACATCACAGACTCTAGTTAGGGTTTCGCGCCTTCGACGGAAAGGGGGGGCGGAGCAAGTCTACTAATCCGACTAAGGTACCCTTAAGTCTACTTATCTAGAGCACACCTTTGTAAGCGGTGCGTGTAGTATCAGTTATCGTATCTATGGCCTAGGGTTCCAAGTGAATGTCAGCCTATCTTTCATGAACTACTATCTTATGTGAGCCTTGATCGTCGTACCAGAGCGGGTTCGATTCAGGCACCATAATCTCGCATCCTTGGCCCGCAGTCCAAGGCGCACTAACGTCGCCATTGTTACGGCTGATACATGTCGCCAAAGTAGGACGCTGCTTTGGCGCCAAAGTAAAACGCTGCTTTGGCGCCAGAGTAAAACGCTGCTTTGGCGCCAGAGTAGAACGCTGCTTTGGCGCCAAAGTAGAACGCTGCTTTGGCGCCAAAGTAAATCGCTGCTTTGGCGCCAAAGCCTGGCGCTGCTCTGGTGCCAATGGCGGGCGCTGCTCTGGCGCCAAAGCATGGCGCTGCTCTGGCGCCAATGGCGCCAAAGTCCGGCACTGCTCTGGCGCCAAAGCCTGGCGCTGCTCTGGCGCCAATGGCGCCAAAGTCCGGCGCTGCTCTGGCGCCAAAGCCTGGCGCTGCTCTGGCACCAATGGCGCCAAAGTCCGGCGCTGCTCTGGCGCCAAAGCCTGGCGCTGCTCTGGCGCCAATGGCGCCAAAGTCCGGCGCTGCTCTGGCGCCAAAGCCTGGCGCTGCTCTGGCGCCAATGGCGCCAAAGTCCGGCGCTGCTCTGGCGCCAAAGCCTGGCGCTGCTCTGGCGCCAATGGCGCCAAAGTCCGGCGCTGCTCTGGCGCCAAAGCCTGGCGCTGTTCTGGCGCCAATGGGCCCAAAGTCCGGCGCTGCTCTGGCGCCAAAGCCTAGCGCTGCCTTGGCGTGACTGTAAGGCTCTACATCGACGCCAAAGTCTGGCCATTGTGATGATTACCCTTTTACACTGTGCGCATGCCCTTTTTATGATACAGATTTTCTGTTTTTGTGACTCAATCCCCGTCTGTATTGTTGCTCGCAGATTTCTAAGCGCACTTGCCATGTTAACTTTCCTACGGAAACGGTAAGGTCATGTTTTGTTTGGGTAGTCAACAGTAGCTGTCATTTCCTTGTACATCATACAACCATGTGTGTGGACGTAATACGCGTATGTTTCTCCGTGAAACTCAAATGCAACGTGCACCTTTGTGTCCCTATTTCATGCGCTCTGCCCTCAAGAGCATTTGCCTCGCAGAACGAATCTGATGTCAACATCACTTTGGGTAAAGTCTACTCCTCGGTGGACACCGCAAGGGATGAGGTGCGCCGATATGGCCGAAAGCATATGTTTGAGCCGATTTTCCCGAGGAACAATTCCACGCGCATCGAGGCATGGTGCAAGTCCATGGCTGGGAAACGTTGGCCTGTCAATGAGACTAAAGCACCTGAAGGGTTTTGCCCTTTCCGTGTTATCATATGTGGTCCTTCGTCAAGCTGTCTTAGGGTCACTACTGCTCGTTTGCGTCATGCGGACAAGTGTACGGTTGGTCCCGGTCGTGTGCGGAGAGACGAGGTAAAAGAGATCGCACGAGACATCATGAGTCATAGTGAGGTGAAACCTAAGGGCTTGATGAAGAGGGTTTCAGAAGTACTGGGTGTGTCATGCTCGTACGCTCTAGCCCATGGAGTGATTGCTGAGGTGAGACTAGAGAAAGCATTCGCGGGGGATGAGGGCTTTCAGTATATGGAAGACCTTTTGAGGATTTTCGAAGACAAGAACCCCACTAGTGTGGTATCCATGGAGAAAAAACGAGGTCGTTTTTTCCGAGCAGGTGTCATTTTCCCGGGTGCAAGGAAGATGCTAGAGAACTGCCTGCCAATCATATTTGCTGACGGTTGTCATGACAAAAACCAGTGGGCAGGCCACACCCTCAACTTGTGTCTCCTTGACAGCCAGCACAAGTTGGTGAGACTTGGTTGTGCTTGGGTGGAGGGAGAAAACAAGGAGTCATGCAGTTACATCTTCAATCTGCTTCTGAGGGCTGTTCCTGAAGTGAACTCTGCCGATTACGTCATGATGCATGACCGTGGTGGTGCTTGGAAGGCAGCCACCGCGAGATGCCTGCCATTGATTCGGGAATCATACTGCATCACCCATCTAGTGCGGAATTTCAAAAGCAAATTCGGATCAGACCTCGATGGTCGGATATTGGCAGCAGCCGTAGCTTTGACTGACGCTGTACATGCTGGACACATGGCCAAGATCGAAGAGGAATGTCCTGGGGGGGTAGCATATCTCGTGGACAAATCACTGTCCATGAAGTGGGCAACAACCGAGTTTAGTGCACCCCGATTCGGCTGCTACTCCTCAAATCCAGTTGAGTCGCATCATGCGTCGCTCTCTGGATTGAGAGAGAAGAACGCACCACAGGTGCTATTGAGGCTGTCATATAAACTCGCCCCAATAATGGAAAAGAGGCGCAAAGCGTACTCTGCCTTGACTGATTCCGACCTACCCACAAAGACAGGGCTTATTGTCAAAGCAAACCGGGACCGCAGCCGATCTTATGTGGTGTCATGTACGGGAGAGAACGAGTACAGGGTTGAGCTGGGGGAGACGGAGAGCAGAATCGTGACAACGGATCCGAAAAAGGTGGACAACACCAAGTGCTCCTGCAACTATACACAGTGAGTTCAAGTTGCCCATCTTGCCTGTCTATATAAAATTTGTGTTCATATTTGTTTTAACATACGGCTCAATGTACATTTCCCACATGCATGTGCATACATGCAACGTACGATCACCTACCTATGGTTGGAGGGATCTGCTCTATCTTGTCTTGCCCTCGTGTGTCCATTTTGTTTTATCTGCAGAGAATACGGACTGCCATGCGTCCATATGTTCGCGGTCTTCAGAAAGGATGGGGAGAGGGCTCTGGCGATGATCAGCAAGTATCACACTGTGGCGGCCCTGAAGGAAGTGTATGTGACGCCCTGGAAATTGATCGACCCTACAAGTGTGAAGCCGGATGGTACCACACTGCCTCCAAAGTACAAGAAGAAGTCAGGCCGCCCCCCCAAGAAGAGGCTTCGATCGCATGGTGAGCTCGATCCCAAGAGATTGCGCAAGTGTAAGAAGTGCTCGGAATACGGCCACAACTCTCGTACATGTGAAGTGCGTGCAGCTAGTAGGGCTATGTGGGAGGCGTTGATGACACCTGAAGGGCAGTTGCATGCCCAAACGGTGACAAGCGTTGATGGGACCGTCCGCACGATCTCATGCAGGGCGTGCGGAGGACGACATGGCAGGGAGGTGATCTGTGAGCCGTTGAGGCGTGAGGGGACGGGACAAGATGATGATGGGGAGGGCTCCTCTGGTGATGAACTTGAGGATATCACTGATGAGGTGTGTGATGATTCCTCGGATGAAGACAATGTTGAGGGCGGTAACGTGGCGCATGTGATCTTCACTCGGTCACACGCAGGGCTAGAAATACATGCACAAGCTACTGCCACGACCCCCGAGGGCAACCAGGGTCAAGGTCAACAGCCTGTTGTTGAAGAGTCCCCTAATCTTGTGCAAGTGGGAACTCAGGAAAGTTCGGCTGCAGTGGAAATGGAAGTAGTTGACTCTGGGGTGCCCTGCAGGGATGACACCGTTGGTGCTGCTGTGATGCATGGGAGGGGGTCTAGAGAGTCCGTCGCTGCTAGGAGGTTGAGGCGGTTGCAGTGTCTAAAGATTCAGAGGGAAGTTGTCGACCCTGGCAGCATGGAGGGGAGTGGCTTGGACCTGCAGGAGGAGGAACCATTGCTGCCACGAAGTAGAGGAACAAGCAGACGGGGTAGGGGGAGCAGCGAAGCTGGAGGGCGTGCTGGGAGAGGCAATGGCAGGCGTGGAACGGCGAGAGGTGTTCGGCAGCAAGGGAGAGGAGTGGGTGTGGGGCAGCAAGGGAGAGGAGTGGGTGTGGGGCAGCAAGGGAGAGGAGTGGGTGTGGGGCAGCAAGGGAGAGGAGTGGGTGTGGGGCAGCCAGGGACAAGTGTGGGTGTGGGGCAGCAAGGGAGGAGTGTGGGTGTGGGGCAGCCAGGGACAAGTGTGGGTGTGGGGCAGCAAGGGAGGAGTGTGGGTGTGGGGCAGCCAGGGACAAGTGTGGGTGTGGGGCAGCAAGCCAGGAGTGTGGGTGTGGGGCAGCCAGGGACAAGTGTGGGTGTGGGGCAGCAAGGGAGGAGTGTGGGTGTGGGGCAGCCAGGGACAAGTGTGGGTGTGGGGCAGCAAGGGAGGAGTGTGGGTGTGGGGCAGCCAGGGACAAGTGTTGGTGTGGGGCAGCAAGGGAGGAGTGTGGGTGTGGGGCAGCCAGGGACAAGTGTGGGTGTGGGGCAGCCAGGGAGAGGAGTTATGGTGCAGCCAGGATTGGTGCAGCAAGGGAGAGGAGTGGCTATGCAGCAGCATTCGGGTGGGGTGACTATGGGGCAAACAGGGGGGGGGCAGCAAGGGAGTGGGGTGACTACGGGACAGCAGGGGACGGGAGGGGTGATGGGGCTGCAAGGGAGTGGACTGGCTACGGGACAGCAATGGAGTGGGTTGGGAATGGGGCAAACAGGGGGGGGGCAGCAAGGGAGTGGGGTGACTACGGGACAGCAGGGGACGGGAGGGGTGATGGGGCTGCAAGGGAGTGGACTGGCTACGGGACAGCAATGGAGTGGGTTGGGAATGGGGCAGACAGGGGGGGGGCAGCAAGGGAGTGGGGTGACTACGGGACAGCAGGGGACGGGAGGGGTGATGGGGCTGCAAGGGAGTGGACTGGCTACGGGGCAGCAATGGAGTGGGTTGGGAATGGGGCAGACAGGGGGGGGGCAGCAAGGGAGTGGGGTGACTACGGGACAGCAGGGGACGGGAGGGGTGATGGGGCTGCAAGGGAGTGGACTGGCTACGGGACAGCAATGGAGGGGTGTTGGAATGATGCAGCCAGGCAGGGAAGTGGATATGGATCGCTACAGGTTTGTGGGAATGCAGCAGCGCTGGTGGGGTGAAGGTGGTGAGCATGAAGGTATGAAGCAGACACGCCCTGTAGTCGGGAGGGGAGTGGGTGCACACGAGCAAGTGAGGGAAACAGGTGTGGAGCATCAGGACTGAGGAGTGGGTTTGTGGCTACACGGAACGGCACAGGTGTGGAGCAGAAAGGGTGAGAAGTGGGCGGGTTGCTGCAAGGGAGTGGGTGGGTAGGGAGCAGCAAGGAAGTGGAGTCAGTGTGGGCAGGAAGGGGGAGGAGTGCGTATTGGGCACTGAGGGAGAGGAGTAGGTGTGGAGCAGCAAGAGGGAGGAGTTGCAATGGATCAGTAAAGGAGGAGAGAGGGCATGGACAGGGAGTGGGGATGGAGCAGGAAAGAAGGAGTGGGTGTGGAGCATCAAGGAAAACAAGCCCTGGTTAAGGGGCAGCAAGAAAAGGGGGTGGGTGTGGATCAGCCAAAAAGGGGTGTGGGTATGGCAGCAGAAGCAAGATCGTCATCACCACCACTCGCAGTGAATCGTCCATTGTGGGCACCCGCGTGTCCATCCGGCAGGTTCATACATTGGCTGGGAAACTATTTAAATGTTAGAAACCTTAAATTAATGTTACTGAACAATGCAGTGCAGTGCTTGCATCATTTTAGGATACCGTAACACTGGTAGCGTATTCATATTGTGCACATTTCCTAAAGGAAACACTCAACACATCGGCAACGAAATTTGCAGTACAAAGCATGGTTTGTGCAACATGGTTTGCAAAACCCTTGTGATACAATGCCTGCGTGTTTAAACTATGTGGAGATAGGCTGGCTGCCAGCCGCTGGCATGAGATTAATATATGTCTATAGTATGTAATTGAAGGCTAGTGTTACAGCACTACGCTGAGATTATTCTAGATTTGTATACTCTATCCGCTGTATGACGGAGCCTAAATTGAGCGTTCCTAGTTATGGATTGTTTAACATTTTGATAAACATTTAGGCAGATTCAATGAATTGTGAACTCTAGCTATACATATATGCGTTCGAATTCTTTCATAAAATTTGTGAACCGTTATGTTTTGTTACGACGATTCGAACGTAACCAGGTATATTTGCAGTCAAAATGGTCGCGTATATAGGACAAAAACCAGGACCCGAAAAAAAGTACCCAAATCTGTACAGTGTTTCAGGGCGGGTCAACGAAATGATGACAGGGTTCAAGTGTGACTACCCGTGATAGAAATTAGTGGCTTTAAGTGACGGCGGGTGATACCCGTGTGATGGTTCGTGATAGATTTGGCGGATTTTGTGACTGTCCGTGATAACTTTTGCGGAACATATGACTGCTCGTGATAACTCCTAGATGTTTGTGACGGCCCGTATAAAAACCCTTAACCTTAGCCACGCGAGCAGCAGCGGCAGTTCATTCCAACAGTTTCCTCCAACACGGGGAGTTGGAGCGTTCCCGCGCTCCAGCACCCGTAAGTACTGACAGATCCAGCTTGATTTTTGTCTCGCGCGGAATGCCATCTGCTTCATCATAAAATTCCGCGCACCTAGTCTCTCTCACCTCGCCTGTCGCGACGGCGTCTCCTCGCGCATGGCGACTTCCATCCCTCCCGCGTCACCGCCCTCCCGTCGCCCCCCCGCCCTCCTCCCCTGCCACGACTCCCATGGCTCGCCCTGTTCCCACCTGCCCGACCACGTCCTCCTCCGAGTCTTCCGTCTCCTCGCTGCCGAGGGCCGAGATAGTAGCGCCGCCAATGGTAGCCATGGCGACGACAGCGACGATTGCGGCGATGGCGATGATGATGGCCACATGTGCGCCGGTCACTGCGTCGCATTCACCCACGCGCTCGTGTGCAAGCGATGGCACCGCCTCGCCTGCCACGCGCTGACCACCGTACGCGTTAGAGATTTCCTCCAACTCCCGCTACAGTCGCTCCTCCTCTCCCTCTCGCGCTTCCCGCACCTCACGTCGCTCGACCTTCCCCCGCGCAGCGTGCTGCCAATGACCGATGCTCTCCTCCGCGCATTGCCCGCCGCCTGCCCGCGCCTCTCCGCCCTCCGCGTCCGCCCGGAGCATTCCCCCGTCACCGCGGAGGCCGTCGGCGCAGCAGTCAGCGCGCTGCCGCGGCTGCGCGAGCTGCTGCTTCACGCCGCCTCACTGCCGCTGCTGCCGCCCGCCGTCTGCCGACTCGCTTGCCTAACCTCGCTGCACCTGTCCCTCCCGTCCCTCTCCTCCCTTCCCGATGACGTCAGCAACCTAGTCTCCCTAAAATCTCTCCACCTCTGCGCGGCCGCCCTCCACTCCCTCCCCTCCGCCGTGGCCCGTCTCTCCAATCTGCTCCGCCTGCACCTCTCTGGTTCCTTCCAACGCCTGCCCGAGAATCTCGGGCAACTAGAGAATCTGCGGGAGCTGCATCTGACGCACTGCTTTGAGCTGTGCGAGCTGCCCGAATCTACGGGCAGGCTGACTCGCCTCTCCCATCTCACCATTGCCAACAACTTCGCCCTGGCCCGGTTACCACACTCCATTGGTGGCCTGCTCGCCCTGCACTCCCTGCGCCTGTTTTTCCTGGGAAAGCTGTCGCTACTGCCCGAGTCACTGGGGCACCTCACACGGCTGGCCCATCTCACGCTCATGCACTGCCGGAAACTCACAGCCCTCCCTGCCTCGCTCTCCTCTCTCTCCTCCCTCACCTCCCTCTCCCTCGCCTGCCCTGCCCTCACCGCCCTCCCCGCCTCCCTCGGCCAATTGTCTTCTCTCGTTTCCCTCTCCCTCGCTGATATGCCGCTGCTTTCATCTCTGCCCGGTACTCTCGGGCAGCTGTCCCAGCTGACGTGTCTCGCAGTGACTGGCTGCGACCGGCTGGTCGAGCTGCCTGAATCGATGGCCTTCCTCCCCCGCCTCGCCTCCCTCTCCCTCCGTGACACCCCCATCGCACTCCTCCCCCTCCCTGCCTCCACGCGCCCTCCCCCATCGCGCCCGCTGCTCCCCTCGCTGCGCTCCCTCTCAGTCGTATCCAGTGACCTCCTCACCTCCCTGCCCGCCTCCCTCTCGCTCCTCGTCTCCCTGCGTGCCCTCACGCTGCTCGCCTGCCCGCGCCTCGCCCCGCTGCCACCACGCGCATTGGCGGGCCTGTCTCGCCTGGACCTGCTCGTGCTGGGCGGGAGAGTGGACGGCGCTGGCATGGGGGATGGGGGGGGCATGGGAGTGCGAGGGAGGGGCACGGACATGCAGGGCGGAGAGCAGCACGTGGAGCACTGGCTCTCACAACTGCACTGTCTTGATGCTGCTGCTGCCCAGGGCACCATGGGCCACAGCCACAGCGCCATGCTGCACCATGATGCCACTGCACTGGACCTCACCTGGCCTCCCCCTCCCACTTCCGCTCCTCCCGCTCGCCTGCCTCTCCTCCACCCCCCCTCCCATCCCTCCCTGCCTTCGGACCTCACCTCTCTCCCTCCCCTCTCCTCCCTCCCGTCCTCCCTCCCCTCTCTCTCCTCCCTCCACACCCTCGCTCTCTCCCACCTGCCCCTCCTCTCCTCGTGCCCCGACTCCCTCTCTCTCCTCACCAACCTTCGCCACCTCTTCCTCTCCACCCTCCCCTCTCTCCCCCACCTCCCCTCCTCCCTCTGCTCGCTCCCTCTCCTCGCCCACCTGCACGTCTCCTCCCTCCCGCGCCTCTCCGCCCTGCCCCATCGCATCGGCCTGCTGCCCTCGCTCGCCTCACTGCATCTCGCCTGCCTGCCCGCCCTCACCGCGCTGCCTCTCTCCCTCGCCCGTGCCGCGCACCTCACACACCTGCTGCTGGACCACGTGGGGGCGCCCACGCCCACCTCACACCACGTGGGGCCGGAGGCACCACCACAGGGATGGGTTGGGCAGGGCGAGGGGCAGGGCAGAGAGGGTGCGCAGGCTGTGCAGGCGCCCCATGGCGGAGAGGGGCCGCGGGCTTCTCACGTGTCACCGCTGCCGGCGTTCCTGCTCTGCCCGCCTGGCAGGCTGCACTGTGCCGCGCTCACTGCTCTCACTGTTCGCTCCTGCCAGTGGTGGGAGGGTGACAGGGCTGACGGGGACGGCGAGGAGACAGGGGGGGAGGGCGAGGAGGAAGGGAGGGAGGGCGAGGAGGAAGGGAGGGAGGGCGAGGAGGAAGGGAAGGAGGGCGGGGAGGAAGGGAGGGAGGGCGAGGCGGCGACAAGCAAAGCAGTGGGGAGAGTGAGGGAGCAGGTGTCAGCATGGGGCGGGCTCACGAGCTTGGACCACCTGGAGCTGCCATGCGGGCTGGGAGCAGGAGGGGGGGTGGCGGGAGGAGGGGAGCATCAGACGGTGTTCCTGGCAGCGCTGCTGCCGTCCCTCACGAGCCTCACTCGCCTCACCTCTCTCGTTCTGCACGGCGCCCCGCCCTCTCCGCCCACATCTGCCTTCCCTGCAAGTCACAGCTATTTCACCACGCAATCTGCTCTCCTCACTCCAAGCCCCCTTTCTGCCGCTCTCCCTGCCTCCATCGCCACCCTCTCCTCCCTGCGGCATCTCACACTCTCCTCCTTCACCTCCCTCACTCATCTCCCTCCCTCGCTCACTCTCCTCCCGCACCTTGTCTCCCTGCGCCTGCACACATGCCCCGCCCTCATCGCCCTCCCGCCCTGCATGCACCGCCTCGCTCCCTCCCTGCGGGTGCTCGACTTGCTGGGCTGCCACAGCCTCTCCGCGCTGCCGCCATCACTGCCACAGCTGTCAAACCTAGAGCGGTGAGTGGGCCATGCATTTTCCTGTAAGATAAGTTCCTGCGCACACCTCTTGAATGTGCTACCCACAGCTGTCAATGCTATGCCATGGGCCATGCTGCATCTACCTAGCTGCATGGCCTGCCCAATCCCTGGAGTGGAAGTCCAATCACACACGCTTCACATCGTACGCTCACACATTTCAAAGGCAGTAGCGGGCTGCCATGAATCCATAGCTCTTTGGCATAGCTGCACATCTCATCACAGGTTGGTACGAATGCAAGGAGCATCCCAGTGCTGGCGTAACTACTCATTTTATCGTCCTTCGCCCCTTCTCTCCTCACATCTTTCCTCCTTCCTCTCTGCTTTCGTCTCTCACCCGTAATGTCCGCCCTTGTTTCCTTGTTTTCTCTCCTCCCCTATCCCCTGCCATCCCATCTGCCTGCGCCCTGTCGCAGTCTGGTACTCACGGAGGCATTCAGCCTGCACTCACTTCCAATCGCCATCGGCACGTTGACGCGCCTGCGCCTGTTTGTGCTGGAGGGGTGTGAGGAGTTGAGTCCTGACAAGGTGCCACCGTCCCTTGCTGATCTACCTCGTGGAGTCTTCTTCAGTGATGTCATTGACATTGATGCCCTTGTGCCCCCTCATGTCCCATCATAACCACTGTACATGTTCTTCGGGTATAGTATGTCGAGAGTAAAGGGAAGGAAAAGGTTGGCATGACTATCGAGAGAGTTGGGTACAAGTAACAAAACCTATACGGTACCACTAAAGCCTACATACCGTATCACCCCGGATATAAGCGCAGGCCTATGTTAAGCGCATGCGCTTATATCTGGAGCAATGCGTTTATGGCCGATCCTCAAGTATAAGCGCACCCCTTATAAAACCCTGATTTATTATAAGCGCATGTATAAACATATTATGGAGAAGTTCTTCTCCTTCATGTCCTTCTACGAGCAGCACCAGCAAGGAGTACCTGCGCAATCAAACAACAGCACCAACAACAACGTGACTCCTATGAGCCTCGATGGCTCATCCTACGCACGCGGGATTCAACAACAACAGCAGCCTACCTTTGCGCCGTACGAGCCCCAACGTGGCTCCGTCAGCTTCATGCCGCAACCACAACCTGCACCGGGACAAGAAAGGGCATTGGATGCGTTACAAGTTCAATCGCAATTCGCGCATGTCCTAAAACTGCAAACAACAAAGCCTTTCGACGGCAAAGACTTCTTCACCTGGTCGTTCGAGTTCGAACTGATGATGGAAGGAGCACAGATTCTCGGCTTCTTCGACGGGTCCCTGCCATATCCAACAAACGGGACGCAATATGAGAAGCAGAAGTACACCTATCAATCAATGATGGCGTACACGATACTGCTAAGAAACATCACCCCAACTCAGCAGCAGAACATCAGGACTTACCGAGGCTACGGCAACTCCGCGGAGCTCGCGTACAACCACCTGAAGAACCTGTATCAAGCAACAGACAGCGTAAATCAAAGCACGTTAATGGCGCAGCTGACAACGATTGAAATGAAACAAGGCGAGAAAGGCATGGCTTATATCAGCCGCTGCCGCGAACTGCGCGACAAGCTTCTTCGATGCGGCGGGTCGATTTCAGAAGACGCCTTTGTCACGGTGATCATCGGCGGTCTCGGCCCCCACTGGCGCTCCACTCGCGCCATATTACGAGCACACGGGAGGATCTCCGAAGCGGCACTCTGCGCTGAAATTCATGCCGAGCAGCAAGACATGGACCTGCAAGAAGAAAGACACAAGAAGAAAACATTAGCACCGGAGTTTGCGTTTCACACTCAGCGACGATACAACGGCAACAACAATCGACAACAGCAACAAGTAAAGACGGTACCTCCGTTCTGCCACATCTGCAAGACTTCGGGCCATCCTCGCACACATTGCCCGTCTCGTCAGACAACACCACAGCGACAACTCCGGCCTTCAAGCTCCCAAGTTGCTTCAACGCAAGCAAATCCGACGACCACAATCCAAGCCTCAACAACTTCAACTGGACAACCTGCACAAGGAACAAAAAACATTGTCAATTGCATGGTGAAGATAACTGATTCGTGCACAACCGAGTCACCACCCCACTACTCACCGGAAGAAGAGCTCGACAACAGGACACCTCGCCGCGAGTCACTCCAGCCGAATCCAACGTACGCCGCCATCGCTCAAAACGAACCGTCCGGGCAAGACACCTGGTTCTTGGATAGTTGCTGCGGACAACACATGTGCTCCTCCGGACGCTTCGTACAACGCGAACATCGACTCCAGCGAGAAGTAGTCATCACGGTCGCCAACAACCAGAACCTGCGCACACGACGACAAGGAGTAGTTCAGCTTCAATCAAGAGAGACAAACGTCATACTGCACATGTCAAAGGTACTCATCGTAGAAGGACTCGGTTATAACTTACCGAGTGTTAGCCAGCTGATGGCGAAAGGGATTCACTTGGAAGCCGACAGCACCACCCAGGAGTTTAAGTTATACCACGGGAAGGGCGGCCTCTACATCGGAAGAGCAGTGTTGAAGAACAACGTCTTCGTTCTTGATTTCGTCCCCGACCTGGTCACTGTAGACAGCGACGCCATTGTCAACTTCACCGACTGGACACATCCTCCGGATCTCGATCCCGACTTCAGCCCGGGAGGTTTCTGGCACTCGCACACCATCCCTGAAGCAGAACGAACACGAGCATTAGCAACGATTCAACAAACGGCAGCAGCAGAGACAACATCAGCAGCAGCAGAGACAACATCAGCAGCAGCAGAGACAACAACGGCAGCAGTCATCGGCTAGGTGACTACGCCACTGTGGGCAGCCATCGTGTGGGAGAGTGAACCTCTCGCGTTGGCGCCGATGGAGACGATTCCCCTGCTGCGCGGGGAGGCGGGAGGCGCGCTGGCGCCGACGGAGACGATTCCCCTACTGCGCGGGGAGGCGGGAGGCGCGTTGGCGCCGACGGAGACGATTCCCCTGCTGCGCGGGGAAGCGAGAGGCGCGTTGGCGCCGACGGAGACGATTCCCCTGCTGCGCGGGGAGGCGGGAGGCGCGCTGGCGCCGACGGAGACGATTCCCCTGCTGCGCGGGGAGGCGGGAGGCGCGTTGGCGCCGACCGAGACGATTCCCCTGCTGCGCGGGGAGGCAGGAGGCGCGCTGGCGCCGACGGAGACGATTCCCCTGCTGCGCGGGGAGGCGGGAGGCGCGCTGGCGCCGACGGAGATGATTCCCCTGCTGCGCGGGGAGGCGGGAGGCGCGTTGGCGCCGACGGAGACGATTCCCCTGCTGCGCGGGGAGGCGGGAGGCGCATTGGCGCCGACGGAGACGATTCCCCTGCTGCGCGGGGAGGCGGGAGGCGCGTTGGCGCCGACGGGGATGATTTCCCTACTGCGCGGGGAGGCGGGAATGGAGAAAGAATGGGAGAGGGTGACGGACAGAGGCATCGCGAGAAAGCATGGAACGAGGAAAGGGGAAGGAGGAAGGAAGAGCGCATGCCTGGAGCACGGAAAAGAAATGATAGGGAGCAGGGCTGGGGTGAGGGAGTTGAGCGCCAGGCCACAGAACGTCAAGGGAAAGAAAGGAGCCATGGCGCACCTGCTGGAGCGTTTCACTCGCCCGACCCGAGGCAGGGGTATGAGCACAAGCGGCGTATGGCGAGAGGCGACTGGATAGGCTTAGGACTGCCGAGGAGGGGAGAGCGATGCGGTGCTGAAGAAGGAGGCAGGTGGGGCCCACAGGAAAGAGGAAGAGAGTGGAGGCGCGAAGAGGATAGGCGAGGCAGGAGAGAAGGTGTGCGGTCACCAGAAGTCTCGAGGGCAGCAGAGAAGGAGCGACAGCGAGAGGGTAGAGTGCGGCGGTACCAGGAGCGGTCCCCTGCGAGGGGAGAGAAGCATCGGGAAGATCCAGAGAGGCGCTGGGAGGAGCGTGAAGATGCCCGAGGGAGGAGCCCTAGCCCGATGGGCCCGGAGGCCTGGGCGTCACGACGAAGGATCTGCGGGAGCAAGAGCGGCTAGGGAAGGATTAGAGCGAGTGCTGTACGGAACCAGCACGGGCAGCAGGGGAGAACAGGAGAGGAGGAGAGGGGTTATGGTGTCTGAGCGAGGAGGGACGGAGAGCTGGGAAACAGGGAAGTGGGGCGCAACAGCACAGCCGCGAGTGGAGGTGCCAGTACGCTTCACGGGAAACGAGAAAACCGGCCCAAGTTTGAAGAATTACTTGATGCAGATCAGCAATGTTAAATACCGATGCGACAGAAGCGGGATGGACCCAATCAAGTTCTTCCTGAGCCTGCCTAGCACGTTGGGAGGGGAAGCAGAGACTCTGTATCGCATGAAGATGGGTGAATGGCTGACGAGGGCAGAAGAGGATGACGAGGACCCGACGGTACTGTTCCTGGAGCGCCTAAGGAAGCAGTTCCCTGGGCATACGGCGGTGCGCATCAGGGAATTTCAGGAGTTTAGGCGGAGGGATGAGGAGTCACTGCTGACATACTACGGACGGTTAACGAACCTGGCGGAAGATGTGGTGTGCACGGACAGCAGCATGATCATTAGCAAGTTTCTGAACGGTTTAGACAAGGGATTGGCAGGAGGGTTGAGAATGAGAGTCTATGAGCTAGGAGCAGATGCAACACCAGAGGAGGTGTTCGAGTTAGCGGAGCGGGTGGAGCTCGCGCAGAGGAAGTACGAGGTATACCTGCCAAGAACGATAGAAAAGAGGAGTCCTACCTGGGCAGCGGCGATGATATCAGGGGAGGGAACAGGAGAAGAGAGCAGGCCGGAGAAAAGGACGGAGACACGCACCTGTTACCGGTGTGGGCAGCCGGGGCACATAAGGATGCACTGCAGGAACTGCGATGTATGTGGGAAGCCAGGGCACCGCCGAAGGGACTGCCCGGAGGCACCGGCATGTAAAGAGTGTGGGGAAAGGGGGCATGAGGCAAGGGACTGCGATAAAGGGACAGGCGGAAGGAAAGGGTCAGCAGAGGAGATTGAGAGCCAGATAAGGAAATTGCGGGCGGAGTTGCAGGCCCTAGGAGGAAGTAAGGAGAAGGAGGCTGGGTTGTACGTGAGGGAAGAAGGAGCAGAAGAGGAGGAGGGGCATGAGCCAGAGTACACATGCCTGGCGTTACGTAGCCATGAGGAACTGGGTCTGCGCAGTGGGGGCAGAGACGGAAGGAAAGGGCGGGCGCTCAGAGAAAGAACAGAGAGGCAGGTGGGGTTGTATGCAAGGGAGGAAGAGGAGGAAGAGGAAAAGGAGCAGGAGCCAGAATATTCCTGTGCGGTGCTTCGTAGCAGTGAAGTCATGGGGCTGCGCAGTGGGGGCAGGGACGGAGGAAGGGAGCGAGCGACGAAGGTGAGGGCATGGGCAGTGGCAGAAGGGGAAGAGAAGGACGAGAAGGAGGAGGCGGGAGTGTGCGAATTAGTAGCAGCAGGCATTGAAGGGAAGAATGAGGAGGTGAGGGAATGGGCAGCCACAGAAGGGGAAGGGAAGAATGAGAGAGAGGGGACCTGGGCGTGCGTACCAGCAGCCACGGAAGCAGAGGAGAAGGACGAGCAGGTGGGGGCAGGAGTGAGCGAACTTGCAGCAGCAGAAGTAGAAGAGGGGGACGCAGAGGCAGGGGCAAGGCCGTGTGTACCAGCGGCAGCAGAAGCGGAAGGGAAGGGTGAAAAGGAGGGAGCGGTGAAGAAAGGAGGGAAGCAGGGGCAGAGCAGTACAGACATGGGAGGGAGTGGTCGGCAGCCATCGCCAAGGACAGCGGAGTTGTTCAGGGAAATCAGGGCAGGGGCAAAGACTGGCGTGACGATGAAGGATCGGACAAGTCACCTACAATTACACGATCACCTTCATCGACGTCGCTACTCGATACGTCTGGCATCGAAACCTACCCAGCCGCGACATGGCACTCGCAGCGTTCGCCGCCTGGCTACCAATAGCAGAGAGGGAATCAGGAACACAGCTGAAAAGCTTCCAGTCAGACGGAGGTGGCGAATACACCTCTCAGCGCTTCAAGCAGTACCTGGCGGAAAGGGGAATCAAGCAACTCCTCTCCCTTCCCTACGCCCATCAGCAGCAAGATGTGGCAGAAAGAATGAACAGGGGTTTGCAGAATAGCATGCGCAAGCTGCTACGTGGCATGCGGCTACCCAACCACCAGTGGCCAGCAGCAATGGACCATGCTGTCATGCTGCACAACTTGATGTCGTCGTCGTCACTCCCGAACAACGCATCACCGCATCTGCTGTGGACAGGAAAACAGGGCAGCACAAAAATGTTACGAGTTTTCGGGTGCATGGTACAGTACCGACCCCGAGAAGCACGAGCGGGAAGATTTTCGCAACAGGCACAGTGGGGACTACACCTCGGCATCGAGAAAAATTACAACGCGTGGAAAATCTTCGATGTCCACTCAAAGGAAACAGTAGCAGCACGTGATGTGATCTTCTACGAGCGACTCACCCTTCAAACGTACCTCGCCAACTTGCACGAGAATCAGGACCCCACAGGTGGCTTTCGTGGTGACCGAGCCTTCGCCTCAGCAGCGGACGAAGCAGACTGGGATGAACAGAACGTAGACAACGCATCGGAAAAAGCCGGACCTCTCCCGTTCTGCTCCGTCGACGTGCCCATGGACGAAGAAAATCCTCGCGACAGTGTCAACGCCGAAGTCTTCTACCACTTCGCCGACAACGGTTACGTAACACCTGCGACAGTCAACACAAACGAAGCAGAAAGGATAGGGCCAAATTTCATACCCGATCCAGAAGCGGGAGACGAAGCAGCTTATCCCGAGGACCCAACACTCCCCCGATACTCACAGACTGGACTGCAAATCCTTGGTCTCGTCACCGCAGTCCACGGCAATGCACTTCCTAAAGAGCCTGCGACAGTTCAGCAGGCTCTGGGGGGGGAACACAGGGAGAGATGGCGTGAAGCCATGGACAGAGAATTGAAGGCATTAGAGGAACGCAACACCTGGAAGGTCGTTCCCGCAAGTGTGGCACGGAACAAGACCATTCTCACCGGGAAATGGGTCTTCCGCATCAAAACGAAAGCCGACGGCACAATCGAGAAGTTCAAAGCACGCTGGGTCGTGCGTGGATTCGACCAGGAGCAAGGACGAGACTTCACCGAGACTTTCGCCCCAGTTAGTCGACATACCTCTCTCCGAATTCTTCTCGCCGTCGCCGCCATGAAGAAGAAGAAGTTGCGACAAATTGACGTCGCCAACGCATTCCTCTACGCACCCGTCGACGCCGAAATCTTCGTCGAACTCCCCCACGGTACCCACGGAAACCCCAATCAGGTCTGCCAACTATTGAAATCGCTCTACGGAATCAAACAAGCTCCGCGACTGTGGCAACAGCACCTACACACCCGCCTCACTCGCATCGGATTCCGCCAACTGCCTCACGACCAAGGAATGTATCGTCTCACCAAAGGCGCAGACTACATCCTACTGATCGTCTATGTCGACGACTTGCTCTACATCGGCTCCACCGACGACGTCACTACCTGGTTCGAAGGGGAGCTGCAGAAGGACCTCACGCTCACCGTCTCCTCCACCGTCACCCAGTACCTCGGGCTCAACATCCGCGAAGAGGAAAATGCTATCTACCTCAGCGCCGAGAAATACGCCGACACTATCGCCAAGCGCTTCTCGCTCACACCTACCGCTATCGCCACGCCATACCACCACACGGCAGGAGGCGACAAAGGAAATTCTGCTCCATTCAAAGCTGCCGGAATACGAGACTACCAGAGGAAACTGGGCTGTCTCCTCTTTGCATCCGTCACCTGTTGCCCGGATCTATCCTACTCCGCAAGCCAACTCGCCACCTATCTCAAGAAACCCGAAGCAGAGCACCTGGCGGAGCTCGATCGCGCACTACACTACTTCGTGAGCACACCGACGATCGGCCTGACTTACTACAAGGGCGAAGCTACGACGACGAAACTAATCGGCTACATCAATGCTGACCATGCCGACGATTCTGATAACAGGCGCTCTCGCACTGGCTACGTCTATCGTCTCGAGCCTATCGGACCTATCTCTTGGCAGTCGAGTAAGCAGGAACTAATCGCTCTCTCTTCAGCTGAAGCAGAATATATCGCCCTCTGTTCAGCCACCAAGGAAGGACTCTACCTTCGCGAGCTGCTGGAAGAAGCAAAGCTAGCTGAGTTACCCAACTTCACCCTGTTCTGCGACAACCAATGTGCAATTCGCATCGCCAACAAAAGCGGATTCGCGAACAGAACGAAGCATATCGCTCTGCGATACTTCTTCGTGAAGGACGAGATCGAGAAAGGGAAACTCGAATTATCCTACTGTCCCACATCCGAGATGGCAGCCGATTATTTGACCAAGAAACTCGGAAAACAGAAGTTCGAGTACTGCATGCTGATGACTGGACAAGGCCACGTCACCATCAGCGACACTCAAGAAGCGAAGGGGAGTGTTGGGAATAATAAGTCTTAAGCGCCTCTGTCGTGTCGAAACTCAGGACACTAGCGAAGCAGTCCGGATCGAAGCATCGCGAGTCAACCCTCGGAGGTTAGGGTAACCGCCTGGAGGTTACGCGAAGGTCGAAGGTCAGCGACCTTTGACTTGACAAATACAGCGGGACAGCAAGCACACACAACTGACTCGACATTGAGCAGTTGCCCGAGTCGCACTGTATCGAATCGCAACAGTAAAACGGTTTAAACTTATCTATTCGTATTCCTTGTATTCTTATATAAACCTTTGTATTTGCTTGTTTAATCAACTTACTTTGCCCTCACATACTAGCGCAAGGTGGTTCAAGGACTTTCATTCAAACGCTTCCGCTATTACAACCCTACTCAGACTTTAAGCTCTACAAAGATCCTAGGGCACCTCAGCCCAACAAGATGCACAGTTTGGTGCGTTTATAACATATTTTTGTGTTTGTCATTATATAAGCGCATGCGCTTAAAATTTTGACTCATTTATAAGCGCACCCCCCTAAAATTCACTGTTTTATTATAAGCGCAGATGCGCTT